TTATATCTCAATAACCAAGCTACAGATTTCTTTAGAATGGTCCAATCAGAGAACTTCAAGAAAATCTGATTAGTCATACCTTTTGATGAGTTGATTTGCACTGAATTTGTTAGTACAACCTTTCTGACTTCGACGTCATCTTCAGTCAAATCTTCAATAAACACGCCCTTTGGCCACTCATTCTCTTCCTTTTGCAGAAATTTTGGGCCATATAACCATGTACGACTATTTATTAAACCGTCAGCACTGAGACCTCTGGATGCATCATCTGCTGGATTTAAACTTGTATCAACATATCGCCATTGAGATGGACTGGACCCATCGTGTATCACTGCAATTCTGTTCCCAACATATGTATGAAATCTTCTGCTTTCATTCGCTATATAGCGTAATACAGCAGTGCTATCTGTCCAAAATACCGACTCACCTAGTTTCATGTCCAATTCACGTTTGAGCATGCTATCCAACTTTACAGAAAGTGTTGCAGCAGTCAGCTCTAGCCTTGGGATTGTAATTCGTTTCAGGGGGGTTAGTCTTGACTTCGCAATAACAAATGAGCACGAAACTTCACCATCTTTGTTTACAGATCGCAGGTACGTTGCCACTCCATATCCAATTTCGGAGGCATCACTGAAATGATGCAGCTGATTTTTGACTGAATTGCTGATTCCTGAATTTGAATAACATCTTTTCACTTCAATGCGCTCCAATTTTGTTAGATCTTGCAACCAATTTTGCCATTCCTCGAGATTGCGACCAGTTACTTGCTCGTCCCAGCCTACATTTTCCATGCATAAACGCTGAAGAATTGTCTTTGCTGTCAAGATGAATGGCGAAATAAACCCAAGTGGATCATAAACAGATGTAATAATACTTAACATTCCTCTTCTGGTTCTTGATTTATCTTTCATGCTGATATTAAATGTGAAAGCATCTGTTTCTACATTCCACTGCAACCCAAGAGCTCTTTCAGTCGGGAGCTTGTCAGCCTCGAGATGAACATTTTTTAGTTCCTTTGATCTTTCATTTTCTGGTATTGCATCTATGACCTCTCGACAGTTGCTCATCCATTTTGTCAGATGGAATCCTCCTCTCGCCAGCAAATCGGTGAGCTGTTTTTGCATTATGATTGCTTTATTTGCATCCTTTGTAGCTTTGAGAAGATCATCCACATAAAAGTTTCTTTGCACTGTCTGAATCACTTCATCGTTGTAAAATCTGGAGTTATCTTCAGCAACTCTTCGCAAGGCAAACGTCGCACAGCTTGGAGACCATACCCCTCCAAATATGTGTACCATCATCTGATATTCCACAGGTTCCATCTTCAAATTGCCTCGTGGATACCATAGAAATCTCAATGCACTAACGTCATCAGAAGTCACACGTACTTGATGAAACATTGCTTCAACGTCCGCCATGAGGGCAATGGGTTCACTTCTAAATCTGCATAAGACACCAATGAGTGAGTTTGTCAAGTCAGGACCTTGAAGAACATTTTCATTCAAAGAAACATTCTTGTACTTTGCAGCACAGTCGAACACAATTCTGACTTTGTCTGGTTTCTTCGCATGCTTCACGCTATGGTGTGGCAGGTACCATAATTTGCCGTTGCTCACTTCTATTTCTGCTTCTGGAACTTGTCTGGCGTAATCCTTTTCAAGTAAATCGTCAATGAAATTGCTATATCGCTGTTTTAGATCTGGATCTCTTTCCAGCCGACATCTCAAGTATTCCAGCCTTTTCTGTGCCATTGGTCGATTATTTGGTAGATTTGGAGGATTGTGCTTCCACGGAATTGCAATATGGTAATGGCCTTCGTGTAAACATACAGAATTCTCAAATACAGCAAGAGCTCTGGAATCTTCTACAGACATCATTTTCTTGTTATCAACAATTGACTCTTCAAACTCTTGATTGAAGTACTTCTTCAACTGATCATAAAGATGATTATCAGAGGAAACAGTATTGGAATGAAAGCAATGATTACCTTGTTTGGAAGAAACACCAATGGGTCCATTAAATGTCCAACCAAACATTGTCTTTACTGCATACGGACCACCATTTTCACTTTTTTGCACCTCTAGTGGCTGCAAAGCATTTGGTACATCCATGCCAATCAGCAAACTCACTACACCATCGTTAATAGTACCGGGTAACGTTATCCCTTCTAAGTGCGGCCATCTTTTGACATCTTCTTGACAAGCCAAAGCTGATGTTGGAATATTCAACATTTTTGTAGAAAATACATTAGGCATCTGAAGGTGCTTTGTTTCCTCAAGATCCATCACTTCCAAACTAACAACTGACGTCTGACAATATGTTTTTGAACCATTGATCGTAGCGACTGACAATTCACACTTTCTTCCAGTCACACCAAGTTTATCCAAGAGGGCTTCACTACAAAATGAGGCAGTAGATCCACTGTCAAGGAGTGCATATGTTTTAAATAATTTGTCACTTCCTGTCCCTTTTACCATTAATGGAACTATTGGTAATCCAACGTTGTCGCCTTCTTGATCGTTACATCGTGTTACTCCAACAAACTTATCATTGTCTGGACTCGAATCTCTTCTGCGAGCTTCGTTATCTGCATATTTTCCGCTTTCATCCTTACGCCGTTTCTCGTATGCCACCACAGAGTCATGTATTCCTGTCAAATGTTTGCGTCGTAGATTACATTCTGGCACTGTACAGGCTTTTCTTTGTTTGCAACCAGCGGAGAAGTGAAATGATGATAGACAATTATCACAGAGCTTCTTTGAACGAATGAAATTAAACTGTTCCTCACCAGATTTCTTCTTGAATTCCACGCAACTTGCCAATTTATGGTTTCTCTCACAGAAATAACATCGCACATCTGGTGAAGTGACATTTGGCTTCTTGTCATAAGTCTGAATACTGTAATTCAAGCTTCGCTGCGGATATGTCGCATTTGATCTTCTGTTCTTGTCATTTCGTGATGACTGTTCCCTGTTAACATTGTCCATGATAGCACCAAAAACGGGGTCGTTCTTTTCCTTTGATATTGTTCTGATCAAGCGCCGTACATCTTCAACTGTAGGCTCTCTATGATACGATCTGATCTCCTGGACACGAGATTGCCAACGGGACTTCACAAAGTTTGGACATCGCTCTAGGACTTTCACCAATCGGTCTTCATTGTTTAGCTGTGTCAATCTGCCTGCAGCCTTCAGAGTCATCTCGCAGTTCTCGAGGTCATCTGCTAATTCTTGCAAGCCTTCTCTGTCACCAGGCTTTATCACAGGACCACAGGATACTTTCTTTAACCACGAGTCTGATACAGTATATGCATCACCAAAGCGTTCAGCCAAGATTTGTTTTGCCTTCAAGTATCCATCCCGAGGTTCGAGAAGAATACATCCTTCTATTGCTCTTCTTGCTTTGCCTGTACAAAACTGAACTAAAAGCTGCAACCGTTTGCTAAAATCACAAGTGTCATTCTCAACATTATTCTGAAAAGATCGTATGAAAAGAAAATACTTCAAGGGGTTGCCATCGAACATACTGATTTCAGATTTTGGTAAAAGTGCAGCAACTGCTAATTTCTTCATTGTCTCAAGGTAATCTTCGCCATTTAATGTCGGGTTGGCACATGTTTCATCAGTAAAATCTTGTTGCAGGGGTGACTTCCAAGGTGGAGCATGTGGGTTCAACTGACGTTCTTGTTGGGGATAGCCAAATTCTGAAAATTGTTTAAATGTTTGCTCACCTATGATTCCTGTTTTTGTTGGCTTCCTTTGTACTTGTGAGCCGAATTCCATATTTTGACTTTTTCTTAACTCGCCTCTAATTTGCTGACACGTGTTCTTAGATCCCACGTCTCTTGGTAATTGACCATACGCCTCGTCTTGTGATCCGGTTGCCATGGCGAAACCTGTGTAAACTTTTTCTTCAGCCTCGATTTTTGCAAGTTTCATGTCTAGCGCCAGCCTCTTCTTTCTTTGACTTAATCGTAGTTCTTCATGAGCAATGTTTTGACACTCTTCAAATGTTGACGCCTCTGCAAGCAAGGATGCCTTTGTTACAGCATTCTTCAACATCATATCCTGAAGGGTAGATCTGCTCGATTTCTTTGAGTTCTTAGAACACATTGAAGTGACGCAAGAATGAGAAATTATTTCGCTCACCGAGTCTTCGGGACTGATTTCAGCCTTCAGCATCTCTGTTGATGTAGAAAGGGGTTGTGTTAACAACGATACTCTTTCCTTGATATCATAATATCTTCTTTCAGCTTCGTGTGTGTACGCGAGGCATTCTTCAATATCATCTTCGTCAACCATTACAGCTTTGTATTCTTGACATGCCACTTTGAAATGATCGAAAGTTTCGTTGAGCCTGGCTTCGGCAACTCTCACATCGTCTACGGTTTGTTCAGTAGTCAAGCAATCAGCAACACGATTCAGAACTTTCGTAAGCTCTCGTTTTGCATTGGCTCTCATTTTCTTTAAATGTCGGACATGCTCAGTATCGATACTATCAGCACCACAAAACGCCATTATCTCTTGTTGTCAAATACGAACTGATGTAGCTTCAAAGCAAATCTGCTACTGAGGAGGGCACGAACTAATCAGAAATGAACCCAGTTTCCACTAAGCAAAAACAACGCTGGCGTTCTTTCTATCTTGATAATTGTTCGCTAAATGAAATAGTTGATAAAATTATACATAATTAATTAACGAGGTCTAAATGTAATGCAACTAAATGAAAAAAAGCAACATAAACGATTACAGGTTAACCAAATTAATTTGAACTTACTATTTATTTGACCTCGTAGCATAGCATTATCTAAGCAACAGTACTACTAATATCGCACGTACTAATATCGATGTTGTTCTCTCTTCTTACTGGGTAAAACACGCCCAAAGCTTATATAGGGCTATAATGCAAATCCTCGAAGACACGCTTATAACGAGAAGAAATGTCACGTGTCCCCGAGGACATGCCTAAACAATGCTAAAAGTTTCTAATAATAGCAGGGTCAAAAGTCCAAAATAGTTCTACTGAAAAACAACAACAAGTAAATAAGATTAAAAACAATCTGTTTTCTACATCCATGTTCTTTCCACTTTCTTTCCTCTCCCATTCCATTTCCATTCCTACTTATTTCTTTTTTTCCTTTCCTTTAATCCTTCTCTCCTCTCTTTGCCCTCTCTCCTCCTTCTTTTTTCCCCTCTCTTCTCTTTCTTTTCTCGTTGTGTCCATGTTCTTTTCATTTTCTTTCCTCTCCCATTCCCCTTTGATCCCTACCTGTTTCTTCTTGTTCCTTTTTCTTTTATCTTTCTGTCTTCTCTCTGCCCTCTCTCCACCCTCTTTCTTCCCCTTTCTTCTTTTTCTTTCCTCATTCTATCCAAGCTCTTTCCACTTTCTTTCCTCTTTCATTCCCCTTTGATCCCTACCTGTTTCTTCTTTTTCCTTTTTCTTTTATCTTTCTGTCTTCTCTCTGCCCTTTCTCCACCCTCTTTCTTCCCCTTTCTTCTTTTTCTTTCCTCATTCTATCCAAGCTCTTTCCACTTTCTTTCCTCTCTCATTCCCCTTTGATCCCTACCTGTTTCTTTTTCCTTTTTCTTTTATCTTGCTCTCCTCTCTTTGCCCTCTCTCCACCCTTCTTCTTCCCCTCTCTCCTCTTTCTTTCCTCGTTTTGGCCATGTTCACTCCACTTTCTTTCCTCTCTCATTCCCCTTTGATTCCAACCTGTTTCTTTTTTTCCTTTTTGTTTTATCTTTCTCTTTTCTCTTTGCCCTCTCTCCTCCTTCTTTTTTCCCTTCTCTCCTTTTTCTTTCCTCGTTCTTTCCATGCTCTTTCCACTTTCTTTCCTCTCTCATTCCCCTCTGATCCCTACCTCTTTCTTTTTTTTCCTTTTTGCTTATCTTTCTCTTTTCTCTTTGCCCTCTGTCTTCCTTCTTTTTTCCCCTCTCTCCTTTTTTGTTCCTTGTTCTGTCCATGTACTTTCCACTTTCTTTCCTCTCTCATTCCCCTTTGATCCCTGCCTGTTTCTTGTTTTTCCTTTTTGCTTATCTTTCTCTCTTCTCTCTGCCCTATCTCCACCTTCTTTCTTCCCCTCTCTCCTCTTTCTTTCCTCGTTCTGTCCATGCTCTTTCCACTTTCTTTCATCTCTCATTCCCCTTTGATCCCTACCTCTTTCTCTTTTTTCCTTTTTGCTTATCTTTCTCTTTTCTCTTTGCCCTCTCTCCACCCTCTTTCTTCTCCTCTCTCCTTTTTTGTTCCTTGTTCTGTCCAAGTTCTTTCCACTTTCTTTCCTCTCCCATTCCATTTCCATTCCTACTTATTTCTTTTTTTCTTTTCCTTTAATCCTTCTCTCCTCTCTTTGCCCTCTCTCCTCCTTCTTTTTTCCCCTCTTTTCTCTTTCTTTTCTCGTTGTGTCCATGTCCTTTTCACTTTCTTTTCTCTCTCATTCCCTTTTGATCCCTACCTGTTTCTTCTTTTTCCTTTTTCTTTTATCTTTCTGTCTTCTCTCTGCCCTCTCTCCACCTTCTTTCTTCCCCTTTCTTCTTTTTCTTTCCTCATTCTATCCAAGCTCTTTCCACTTTCTTTCCTCTCTCATTCCCCTTTGATCCCTACCTGTTTCTTTTTCCTTTTTCTTTTATCTTTCTCTCCTCTCTTTGCCCTCTCTCCACCCTCTTTCTTTCCCTCTCTCCTCTTTCTTTCCTCGCTCTGGCCATGTTCACTCCACTTTCTTTCCTCTCTCATTCCCCTTTGATTCCAACCTGTTTCTTTTTTTCCTTTTTGTTTTATCTTTCTCTTTTCTCTTTGCCCTCTCTCCTCCTTCTTTTTT